CTGCTTGACCATTAATATTGCAAACCAGAGTAGACCCATGATCCTTTTCTGCAACCTTACAGCTTCGTCCAAAGCTCATAGAAACATTGAGGGAGAAAAGAAAACCCTCTTACAGGTTAGGCATACTTAGATTCAATAATATACTATTTCCCCATTTATATTATTCTGTTATTATTTCTAACATCCAAAATATGTGAACAAACTTGATCTCCATGAGTCATACATTATACAAATGTATAATGTATGACTCCCAGTTTCATTTTTTTTCATGACGTTGAAAGGTTGCTTGTCCAGAGACCATTCTAGCAGGACTTTTCTGTAACCTTTGCATGAAAAAGTTGTTACTTCTCCTATTTTGCATACGTAGGTCTGATGCAAGATGCAACTTCCTTCCCTTCTGCGTGGTGCCAAACCAGCTTTAAGTGTCTTACCACCACCTGAAGGACCTATACATACATCATATATCAATTACAGATCTAAAAACTGGTGGTAAGTATTGGCTTCTGGATATCCCCCAGCCAAAAATCTGCTAGGTTTGGTTATTAAGGTATGATCTCCATGTTCATGCAGGCACACAAAGACTTATCATCCACTGCTCTGCTGATTTTGCACACACCTATCAGTGTGTACCTAAGAATCACCTCTGTGCATGCTAACAAGTTTGCACATGTTTTCTACACTTAAACCATTTGAGGATCTGGCTATTAGTGTACCGCAGGGTTGAGACTCATTTTTTGATAAATTTAAACAGTTTTGAGCAAATGCCTGGTTTCAATCGACTTGACTCCAATCGATATCTGAGACGAAGGAATCTTGATTGCATCATCCGTAGCCTTTTCATTTTTCTTTTTATTATGAAGACCAAAACTATTAAGCAGTACAGAACATAAATCCTATCAGCAGTCTAAACAACACACACAAAACATCCACCAATCTATTTTCTTTGAAAGGCAGACATTAGAAAAAAGTGACAAGCCATTAAAAAATATAAATCATTTGTCACTCATAGCATGGTTTCCCAAAATCCTTTCTTAGTCCTGATACTGCCAGACAGACAGACAGACAGACAGACAGACAGACAGACAGACAGACAGACAGACAGACAGACAGACAGATAGATAGATAGATAGATAGATACTGCTGTGCAGTAAAGTAGGTCATATTGTGTGTTATAAATAATGGAAGAAAACTCTTTATTGTAGATGCTCAGCCCCCACGCACTCCATTGCTAAACACTCTGCATAAGCATTATCACCCAGCTCACCCTCGGCTTTCAATGAGGCACAACTGCAACAGCAAGCTCTGCACTACAAATAAAGAGAAGTGATCCACCCACTATTTTTACGGCATGCAGCCCATTTAGCTGATTAACAACAATTGGAAACAGAAGCTTAGGAATTAGCCACATACAAAACGCAAATAAAAGGACTGCAACGCTACTTGAATTTACAATTTAACAACTTTGGAAGCAGTGGAGCCTTTCACATTCTTTCAATATGAACAAAGTGTAAAGAAGCAAAGAATGAAAAATGAAAGCAAGGGATCGTAGGGAAGAGAAGGTTTCTCTTTATAATTATTTCCCTTGGAGCAGGAGAGAATGAGGAGAGCTGCACATCAATGTTTTACCTTAGGATAATGAGAAAACAGGACAGCATAAAAAAAGCATAAAAAAGCTTCTTCAGTTTGGGAGAAAAAAACTACACATCTGGAAACGTTATACAATAGGAAGTAAATGAGCAATTATAAATAAGAGGAATTTAAATGGAAAAAAGACAATAAAAACAGGCCCAATTAATAGGCCTACATGTGAGAAAGTATAAATAACTAAAGTTAATAGTGTAGCTGCTATTTCGGCATTGCACAGAGTGCGAGAACACAGAGCAGACTGTATTTTAAAAGCCTCCAAATGTTTCACCCATATAATATATCTTAAAAATAAATTTCCCATGCTTCACATTTTGTGACACTGCTCTGTAGGTTTATGGCCAGACTGTGGATGAAGTTGGAATGTTACTGCAGAAAAGTCCTTTCTTCCCTAAAGTCAAATGTGTGCTCCTATGCATAAAACATGAACAGCCAAAATGTTCACCTGAAAGCTACTGTTTGATATTATGGCCAGTAACTGCATATAATTAATGACAGCCTTTTGACTTTGATTCCAACAATGATTTCTTAAAGCAATGAGCATAACTGTGGGTCAGATAGCATCTATTAACTAAGAATCATTTAAGAAAGGAGAAATATGCCCATGTAGTTGTGATTCAACTTTAATGAGCCAAAGATGGGTTGATTTGGGGGTTTTATTGTGAGCATTATGGGGAAGCTGTGATTTGTGAGTTTGTTTATGAGCCTGTAGTCATAAATGACTCCATCCACCTGGATAAGTCATTACAGCATTTGCTGAATGACCTTCCACAAGCAAGCAACTGCCTAATACATTTTTTTAAGTTTTTTAAGTTTTTGCTCAAGTTGAACAAAGTTAAGAAATCCTGTCTGGAAAAAATTACTGTAAATGCGTAAGATTTATCAGCTTAATAAAAATATACTGCTTAGTTTAACTTCTTTTGCATTCTGTGCCTCAGTGAAGCCTTTGCCTGATCAATAAATCCAGGGAGGCACCAACATAGGGAAGAGCTTTACTGTAAAGCATGAAAAAGAAACATTGACAGCATGTGAAGTCTAACTCTAACATTTAATTAATCATTAATCAGCCTTTTAGCAGAGTTTTTAAGTTCAATAGTACTCCTGGCCTCTTTACTCAGTAATAGTACCCATCTTTTGATCTTAAAAAGCACATTAAACTTTTACTGATGTCAGATGAGATGTGTCTATTCTTATTACTGCTTGTTTGGCCTAATTTAATTCCGCCCCTTTAACATTAATCAGCAGGTCCGTCCACAGTGGTGCCAGTGCTATCCACACTGTTCAATTCTTCCTTTGATATTTCAGGCCCAGCTTCAGAATGATTATTAGACATCAGACATTAGTGAGTGTAAACAGAACATTATATATATATATATATATATATA